CCCCATGACTCTGTTCGATGACTCCTTTCACTTCGCAGCTGGTTGCCACATTTTTAGCCTTGCAAGCCCACTTCACAGCAATTCCTCGGGATTCGCTTTTGAGACGTTTTGCTGTAAAAGCGCCCCGTAGCTCAGTGGTTGGAGGCACTCGCCTCGCGAGCGAGAGACCTGGGTTCAATCTCCAGAGGGCAAAAACCTTGGGCAAATTTCCTTACTCCGCGCACGCGCCTGTGTTTACCGGCGGTAAGTAGGAACCCGGCTGTTAGTCGGTTGGCGGATCACTTTTCTTAATAACTCTTCTCTCAAAAAAAATAATAATAATTTGGTCGCTTCAATCCACGACTGTTTGTGGGGACGCTGCTGTGCGCAATCGGCTGCCGCGGTTTTGCCCACGAGACATACAGTCGATTCACTTTACACTACATCACGGTATATCCCGTGAAGCGCTTTGAGACGTCTCGAAGACAAATGCTTCATCGCATATTACTGAAAAGTGGATCGATTGTGTGTTTTGTGGGCGAAACGTGGCAGCCAGTTTGCCTGCAGCAGCGTCCCCGCACACAGCCGTGGATTGAGCGACCAAAATGTATTTGGGCGACTTGTCGGCCAGGACAGGACATCGGGAGAGCGAAACTCCCTTCTCTTTTCGAATCGAGCAGCGGGATCTTTGGAGTCCACCCGGACAGGCTGTTCGACGTCTCACTCGAAGGACGGGAACCTCTGACGATGCAATGCAACCCCCAGCGCTGCATTGGAGCGTCAGCTTAGACGATGCGATTCCGAATCCCCGCTCGAGGGCTTGAGCGCACGGCCTTCTGACTCCGAGGCGAGGGAGAGGCTACCGCTGTGCGCTGTTGGTTCTTTTTTTTAATGGGCCTCGTCCAGACCGGATGCAGTCGGCGTGATGCAATCTTGTACAGTTGGTTGCTAATGTAACCTGCTATTTGTGGCTGTAATGTGACTCTGAAATGGGAAGCAAGTATTGATGTTGTGTACCGGATCGAGGTAGCACTTTTGTGTGGTTTCCTGACCTGCGGAGTTTGGAGGGTGGTTTCAAGGTTAATGTCCTTCCGTTCGCAGGAGGACTGTGAACTGCGCCATTTTCGATCGGAGCTAAATTCTTCTTCTCGCTCTCTTTCTCTTCTCCGCAAAGTCTGATTTCATTGCCCGGTCTTGAGCCAATTTTTTTTTTTAAGATGTAAACTGCGGAGAGAGATGATCAGCCCTGAAGTATTGCCGGTTACCCCCCTCTCTGATCCCAAATCGCAGCTCGGGTGCAAACCGTTCCTCGTCCAGCGGCTTGGGATATCCTCCCGAAACTTGCAAACGTCGAATATTCGTAAGCGAGAGGGTTCCCGGGTTCAGTTCCCGGGAGGGGTGAAACGCTGGGCAAGTTTCCTTACTCCGCACGCCTCTAACAATAAGTAGGAACCCGGTTGTTCTCTGCCTGTGATAAGGCGCTATGCCAAATGCAAGTGCTTTTATTGTTGTTAAATTCAAAACGCTCTGTTAAAAAATGCAATATGTTGTTGTTGGTGAGAAGCCAGACAGAGTTTGGCCCTCTTGACCTCTTTGTCACCATCATCGCAGACGGTTATTAGACTGGGAATTTGTTTGAACTGCGTATCTCTAAAATGTGTTCAAACAAAGACTTTACAAGCAGACGGCGGTGTGGGGGTATATTGCATGACTGTGTGTCAACAAACACACTCGCAATAGGCTGAGTGGACGGGACGAGGCAGTAATAAAATATAATAATGATAATCCTTGCATATATCATTGCATATAATAGTAATCCTATAATAATCCTTGCATTTGATACACCGCTTTTTTTAACGGCTTCTCGACGTCTCAAAACGCTTCACAGAATAGACTGTAAAGTGAATTGACTGTATATTTGTGGGCGAACGCGGCAGCCAATTGCACACAGCAATGTCCCACAGACAGTCGTAGATTGAAAATGACCGATTTATTATTGTTTTGTTTTTTGGAGGGATTATTATTAGGCTCTGTGTGGAGTAAGGAAACTTGCCCAAGGTTTCGCCCTCTGCCTGGAATTGAACTCAGGTCTCTCACTTGCAAAGCGAGTGCTCTAACCACTGAGCTACAGGACTCCTTATCACATTTTTGAGACCTCTCAATATTCTGTGAAGCGCTTTGAGACGTCTAGAAGAAGTGAAAAGTGCTGTATCAAATGCGAGGATTATTATTATTATCATAATATACTGCAAAGTGAATTGACTGTATATTTTATGGGCGAAACGCGACAGCCAATTGCGCACAGCAACGTCCCCACAAACAGTCGTGGGTTGAAGTACCAATTTATTTTTTTTAAGAATTACGGGATTATTACCTCCGGAATGGCCTCCTCCTGGTTCAATGATTCCATGACTGATGTGGTTTATGTACAGGTGCAATGGTTGTTGTAAACCAGGGCCGTTGAGGCTAATTTTAGCCCCAATTTAACTTCAAATAGCCTGGGATGTTGCAAGGAAATGTGAATGGGTGGACTTGAACACCGACAGTGAGGCTATTGATTAAGGGGACACAGACAGAAAGGAATGGAGGAAATGCCCTGAAATGGGATGAAAAGATCCGCCGTAATAATCTAATAAAATGGCAAAACAAACATTTCGGTGAATGACCTCATCTGCTTAACTTAACTGTGGGGGAGGAGGATGGGCTGGGGGGAGAGAGGGAGAAATTACACCATTCACCTACAAATTATAGTCATTACACTTTACGTTACATCCTGTGAAATGGCTCGAGACAGATTTTGACTTGAAAGGCGCAGTGTCGAACACAAGGAAGTGTAATTAGGTTCTGGCACTTGCTGTCTCCGCACAGCGTGGGGTTTGCGAGTCTTTGATGTCGACGTTTATTCTGATATGATTCCTGTTTCGTCTCTTTCAAGCCGTGCGATATGAACGAAGAGCAGTTTGTTAACATCGACCTGAACGACGACAATGTTTGCTGCGTGTGTAAGACGGAGACCGAGACCGAGATGCTCTCGTTCTGCCACCTCTGTTTTGAACTCAGCATCGAAGGTACCACTTGACCCTTGTCTCAACACCTTTCCAGCTTTCTCTGCACCTCTTTCCCTTCACCTTTCCCCCCCGATACTCCCTCCCTCTCACCACCACTAACGCCTCGGGTTCGTTGATCCACAAAATACACAGTCACCGCACATTACAGTATTTCCTGTGAAGCGCTTTGAGACGTCTTGAAAACATGCTATATCAAACTCAAGGATAATTTTTGTTATTATTATCCTCCTCATTCCCAAAAGGCCAATATTGCGCTGAAATAGTGGGACAATCCTACCACCTTATAAATCTTTGGTGTGACTGCAATTGGATACTGTGTGCAGTTCCGGTCGCTGCAATACAAAAAGGATAGTGGAAAGATTGATGATGATGATCCTCGCATTCGATACAGCGCCTTATCACGTCTCCCAGACGTCTCAAAGCGCTTCACAGAATATATTGTAAAGTGAAATTGACTGTATGTTTTGTGGGCGAAACATGGCAGCCAATTGTACACAGCAGCGTCCCACAAACTCTCCTGGATTTATTTTTTTGAGGTATTATTACCTCCGGAAAAGCCATCCACCAATCGACTAACCAACTGGGTTCCTATTTACTACTTGGTAAACCGAGTGAGAGGGTACAGAGGGTGGGGGTTGAGAGGATGAAGGGACTGAACTACGAGGAGCGATTAGATAAAGTGGGCATGTTCACGCTGGAGAAGAGCAGGTTGAGGGACTCCATAATGTAGACCCTGATAAGCTGTTTTACCTCGTCCTGAACAGTGGAACCAGAGCACACGGCCAGCGATTGAAGGGGGCGGTAAATCCAGAACAAATCTGCGGAAACACTACTTCAGTGAGCGAGTGGTAAACTTAGGGGACAAGCTCCCTGGGGAGACAGGCGGTAGAAGCAGAAAGTGTTGATTCCCCCCCCCCCCCACCCCAAGAACAAATTAGATCGAGTTCTGTAATAATAAAATAATATCTCGGGATAATACAGTATATAGGTTGGGACATGACATATGCAGGCGGCTGCCAGGATGGTGGAAGGCAAACTGGATGGGCCTTGGACTTCTTTCACTGAGCGAATTCTATGTTCACCATCGTGAAGACCAGAAAGGGTGTCTTCACATGAAGGGTTAGAACCCTAGAAATATACAGCAACAGTAGCCGGATATGTGGGCTATGTTGTTGTCTGTGCTAACTCACTAAACATGGTACAGTATATAGACACAGCCAATTGGGGGTGTTTATTAATTCTTATATTTAATAATAATAAGAATAATAAACATCCCAATGGGTTCTATCTATAGTGTTTCACATTTGATGAGCCCACGCATGATTACGATCATTAATAATTTGAAAAAAAAATTATTATTGATAATAATAAACATAAATAAGAATCCTTACGTTTGGTGTAGCGCCCTTCACTTTGCAAGGATCGCTTCCGAAGCTCTAAACAGTAAAGTGTAGTGACGGGGCTTTTGAGGCGAACGCACAGCAGCTAATTTGTGTATAGTAATTTGCCTGCGAACAGCCATGAAGTGACCTACTTCATTTTATCTGGGTGATTGTCAACCATGACACTCCTTTTCGAACAGTGCCATAGGATCTTTAACGTCCCCCTGAATAGGCAGACGGGACCTCGGTTTACCTCTCATGATTCTATGTTTGCATTAAACATTACGTATCCTGGCTCCACTCTCTCCTCTGAGTTAGAAGGTTGTGGGTTCAAGCCTCCGCTTCAGGACTCTTGGAATTGCTAATGCTCCAATACAGCCCTGGGATGGGGCGTTAAACCAAGGTCCCGTTTGCCCAACTGTCCAGTTGAAGACCCTATAGCACTACCCTAAAAGAGAAGGGACTTTCTCTCTCCTGATGTCCTGGCCAACGATCCCCCCCCTCCCACCCCACCCTTGCCCTCCCAAAATAAAAATGGTCTCTCACTCCACGGCTGTTTGTGGGACACTGCTGCGTGCAATTGGCGTCTGCATTTCGCCCACAAAATACAGTCAATCCACTTTGCAGTATATCCTGTGAAGCGCATTGGGACGTCTCGACGACGTGATCAAATGCAAGGATTATTATTATTCACTCTATCCTGCATGGACGGCACTAAACATAAACACAAGTTGTTGTCTCAAAGCACCTTACAGACGTTTGAGACGCTTCAACAGACCAGGAAGTACGTCGAGGGCAGGATTACTTAAGTTTCCACAGGAACAGCGTTGCATTAGGAGATAATTGAGAAGAAACTCTTAATTTAAGGTGGCATTTCGGACCGAGGGGTTGCCTCAATTGGAGTTTGTAAACTGGATTATCCAAATGACCTATTTTATTCACAGCCGTGGAGTGAGTGACCATTCTTATTTGGGGGATTGTTGGCCAGGACGCCGGGAGAGTCGGAGAGAAACTCCCTTCTCTTTTCGAATAGTTCTAAGAGGGTGTTTTTTAAACATCCTTTTTTTTAAAATTTAAAATAAAAATGATCTGGAGGAAGGAGAGAGAGAGAGACAGAGAGAGAGAGAGAGGGGGATAGTTTAATAACTTCTCCTGTAGCTCAGTGGTTAGAGCACTCGCTTTGCAAGCGAGACATCTGGGTTCAATTCCAGGCAGAGGGCCAAACCTTGGGCAAGTTTCCTTACTCCACACAGAGCCTAATAATGATCCCTCCAAAACCAAAAACAATAATAAATTGGTCATTTTCAATCCATGACTGTTTGTAGGACATTGCTGTGTGCAATTGGCTGCCGCGTTCGCCCACAAATATACAGTCAATTCACTTTACAGTGTGTTCCCGATGTGAAAAGCGCTATACCAAATGCAAGGATTATTATTATTAGAAGTTGGTGAGGGAGGGGTAGTATTCACCGGAAATTTAACAGGGAGTTTTTTTTTGGCAGAGAATTCTAGGGAGATATTGTGACGCATGTGGATTTGTTTTGGGCCAGACTGAGGTAGTGATTTGCAAAGCAAGTTGGTGCGTGTTGTTAGTTGCGTGCTAACGCAACCAGTTCTCTCTTGCAGGCTCAGCGCAACTTCGAACCTCCCTTACAATAAACCTTGGGTTTGACTCAGTGCCTTTTCACAGCAGGACGACACTCCGAGATGTTTTCCTGCGTGAAGGATGCTCTGCAAATACAACGGGTTGTTCCCTCAAAGTCTATTTGTGCACAGCAATAACATAACAATAACGTCCCACAAACACTTTGCAGTATATTCTGCGAAGCGCTTTGAGACGTCTCAACGATGTGATGAGGCGTTATATCAAATCCAAGGATTATTATTTTTATTACTATGTGATAATCAGGAAGGTAGAAGGCAAACTAGATGGTCTTTTTCGTCGTCTAACGATGATAGGAAATACTATATTAAGGCTGGGGGGGGGTGGGGGAAGGCAGGAGAGTGAGTTGAACGGAGAGAGAACTCATCCAGAGACGGAACTCGGGCCTTCTGCAGCTGTGAAAGTTGCGTGAATAATAATAATAATAATCCTGCGCTTGATAGAACGCCTTATCGCGACTCCGAGACGTCTCGAAGCGCTTCACGGAATGTCCTGTAGCGTTGAACTAGCTGCGTATCTGACCGTACTCTGACTCGCCTCACGCTCCTCTTTGCGTCCTCCCCTTCCCCCACCGACACCGCTCTAATCCCGAGAGAATCCGTCAGTAATCCTGTTCGGTGGCTCAATCCACACGTCGGCCGCGGTTACCTTTAACTCGGCTGATTGGCGTGCGGCGTAAGAGCTAATCGATTGAACCTATAAATAGAACTGGGACGGCCGCAGCTGCTAGTTTGCCCCCAGTTAACAACAGTAATCGTCCCTGCGTTCTCTCAGGCATCGTAACGCACGCGGTGCCTGAGAGCATCCGAACAAACCGAGAACTCCATGCATCCCGTCTGCACGTGGAAATCCCAGCGATAGATTGGTTGAAATGGAATACACTCTCTCTGTTTCTCTCTCTGTCTGTGTCTGTGTCTCTCTCTCTCTCTCTCTCTGTCTGTCTGTCTGTCTGTCTGTCTGTCTCTCTCTCTGTCCCTGTTTCTCTCTGTCTGCGTCTCTCTCTCTCTCTCTCTCTCTCTCCCTGGAGGGACGCAATCTGTTTATCTAATTCCGGGAAGGTATCAGGCGCGGGTTGGCAAGAGGTGAGGGAAAGGAGAACTCAGACTCCGCACCAGGCAAATGGAAACTGTTCATGAGGGGAGCTCCTCAGCTTGGGTTCGATGCCTGGGTCAGGGCAAAACCTTAGGCGAGTTTCCTGACTCCGCGCACAGACCTCTGTTTGCTTAGCAGAGTCCGGTTGTTAGTCGATTGGCGGATCGCTTTTCCGGGGGGTGGCGGGGGGGGGTGGTAATAATCACTTAAAAAAACAATGAGAATAATAATGATGCAGTCGCTCAATCCACTACTGTTTGTTTCGTCCAAAATACGCAGTCAATTCAGGTGACGGTATATTCTGAGAAGTGCTTTGCTACGTGTCAAAGACTCGATAAGGCGCTATATCGAATGGAAGGCTTGTCGTGATTATTGTCATGTGGTTTGGATACTCGTAAGCATAGCGATGGGTTGTGTGTGTGTGTGTGTGTATAGGGACGCCTTTCTCACTCAACCACTCACACGTTCACCACTGCAGAGTCGGCCGACACTGTGAGCTGAAAGTCCCAAACTCGGGCGCCACAAAATGAAGTCTCAGCACTTGTGTGACTCGCGTGTGTGTGTGTCTGTGTGTGTGGGAGGCCATATTCTCTCTCTCTCTCTCTCTCTCTGTGTTGTGGTTGGCGCTGACGTCACGAGCAGACTGCATTGTGTGGCAACCGGTTAGCGTAGTGTTAAACCATCGGAATTTAACAGCAACCCCCGGTCTCTGCAAAATGCGAGAGGGGAGGTTTATAATCCGTACAGAACCACCACGCTGTGCATTTAGGGGAAGTCAGAAGGGTGGGGCGGTTGTTTGTGTGTGTGTTTGTGTGTGTGTGTGTGTGGTGGGTGGGGTGGGTGGGGTGGGTGTTCGGTTCTCCTCAAACGCCGCTGTGTCAGGTCACGGAGTTGTTACCAGGCGTTTCAGAGCTCTGGCATTTCACCCCCACCCCCCCCAACCACACCCCCCATCCCTCGGCTCCTGTGGTTTGTGAGCAGTGAGCTCTCAGGTGTTCGTTCACAAGATTGTGGGTTCAAGCCCCACGGTGAGCTCTCACGCCAGTCTCGAAGCGCTTCACGGGATATCCCGCGGAGTGTAGTGGCTGTGCTCTCTGTGCGTTTAGCGAGAGTTCCGTTCCTTTTCCCGAAGCTCTTTGTGGCTTTGAACACTGCGCAGTCCAGTCAGGGATTTGGACCCGAGCTGCGTGGGCGGGATGGGTGAGGGAGTGGGGGAGGGGAGGTGTGGAGGCTAGGGAGGGTAGGGGTAAGAGGGTGGCCTATGGTACGGTCAGAGAGGAGGGTCTAAAACTAATATTAATAATAATAATAATTAATTGAGACGTGCCTTGAAGGAGACAAGGGAGCGAGGCGAAGGGAGTGTGGGATGGAGTTCCAAAGAGTGGTGGGGTGTGGGAGGAGAACCGGGAGAGGCTGAAGGTCCGACCGCCGATGGTGGGGGCGGACGGGCGTAGCGGGGGACGTGGAGCAGACCGGAGTCCGCTGAGCGGAGGGAGCGGACAGATCGATATGGGCATTAGCAGGTCACAGAGATGGGGGTTGGGGGGGGGGGGGGGGGAGCAAGGCCGTGGAGGATGAACAGGAAAGCGAGCTGAATGACTCAGTGGCTGACTCGATCTCCTGCTTTCACAGGGAAAGAAGCCCGAGGCGTAAGGTGGGGGTGGTTTCTGCCACACTTCCTATCAGCTTTCGAGAAAAATTTTGGTGAGGTGGGAGGAGGAGGCGAGCGGGGAAATTCTGTGAAAATTCCCGTGTTGTGATGAGCTTGTTAACACCGCTGGCGCGGTTAACACACGCACTGAACTTAGGGGCCTTAGAACAAGTGGAGTCCTGTAGCTCAGCGTTAGAGCAGTCGCCTCACAAGCGAGAGGTCCGGGGTTTGATTCCCGGGGCAGAGCAAAACTTTGGGCAAGTTTCCTTACTCCACACACACACACGCACACACACACGCACACGCCTCTGTTTACTCAGCAGTCAGTAGAGAACCCGGTTGTTAGTCGATTGGTGGATCGCTTTTCCGGGGGTAATAATTCCTTAAAAGACTAAATAATAATAATTTAGTCATTTCAATCCACGACTGTTTGTGGGGACGCTGCTGCGCGCAGTTGTCTGCCGCGTTTCGTCACACAAAAATACACAGTCAATTCACTTCACAGCGTATCCTGTGAAGCGCTTTGAGACGTCTCGAAGAGGTGATAAGGCCCCGGATCAAATTGCAAGAATTAGTATTATTATTATGTGGAGACTTTTTCCCCCCTCCCTCCCCCACCCTCCCCCACAATGATCTCAGCCATCTCGACACCTTTCTCATTGAATGCCCATGTTTTGGAGAGAGGAAAGTGGTGTGTGTGTGTGTGTGCGCGCGTGTGTGTGTGGAGTAAGGAAATTTACCCAACGTTTCGCCCCCTGCCCGGGAATCGAACCCGGGTCCTCTCGCTTACGAGGCGAGTGCTCTAACCGCTGAGCTACAGGACTCCACAGGTGGTGGTGTTGGTGGTGGTGATTATGATGATAATGATGGTTCCTCTACTGCGTTCCAGGAATATCCCGCTCCACTCTCCTGCACACCCAGTCGCTGAAAGGCCACCGGGACTGCTTCGAGAAATGTCACCTCATCGCCAACCAGGACCTGCCTCGCCCCAAGGTGTCCAGGAGCACCTACAGGGACATGAAGGACGTGCTGAGCCGGAAGATCAGCCAGATCGTGCAGTACGCCCAGAATCAGCAGGCAGAGGCTGACCTCGAGCAGGACAGCCCCCGAGTCTCGCTGAGGACAGGCTCCAGCCTGGACTCCATCCCCTTCCAACACCTGCACCCGGGCCACACGCTGCTGGTGGGGTCGCAGCTGCCGCGCTACGCCCCCTGCTGGCCGGACAGCGGCCCCCGGGGACTCTCGGAGTGCGCTCGGGGTATCCTTGAGGGCGAGGTGGGTTGCGCCTTCCGGCTGGGGATGCTGGGCACGTCCGGGGGCGGCTTTGGCCGGGGCTGCGTCCGGTGGTCGCCAGAGGAGGAGGAGGAGGAAGAAGAAGAGGAAGAAGAGGAGGGCGAGGAAGAGACGGAGAGCGGGCAGAGGAGGAGGAGGAGGAGGAATGGGAGGGGGGTGCCTCGCTCGGTGGGAACAACCGCCAGGTCCCGGCAACGGCATCGTCACAGGAGCCGAGAGGAACGTAAGTCCCGGAGTCTCGCTGCTCAGATCTCACCAACGAGCTCGCCATGTTCCCACCACCAGCCAACAGGGATCCAGCAGAGATACTCCTACACGTGTGTCATTTAAGGGGCTCCCAGAAAGGGGATCCAAAGATCTTCTACCATTATCCACTGGTTAGAGCTCTCGCCTCGCAAGCGATTTGCTTCCCGGGGCCAGGAGAAACTTTGGGCAAGTTTCCTTACTCCACACACAAACACACACCTCTGTTTACCCGGCAGTAAGTAGGAACGCACTCGTCAGTCGATCGGCGGATCGCTGTCATAATTCCTTCCACCAAAAATAATAATACCAACAATACAAAATTTGGTCACTCGATCCACCATTCTTTCTGCGCGCAATCGGCTGCCGCGTTTTGCCCACAAACTGTAGGGTTAATTCACTCGAAGACGTGATAAGGTGCTATCTCAAATGCAGGGGTTGTTATTGTTACTATTATTAACACGGCTTTCTCCTGTTCCAATGTTCTGGTGGGAATGAGGAACCCTGTGCTCCAGAAGGCTGCAGCCGGCGGAATAATAATAACATCAAACAATAACAACAGTAACAGAGGAGGTTACGCGGGGACCTGATAGAGGTCTTCGAGATCATGAAAGGTTTCGACAGGCGAGATAGGGAAAAGCTGTTTCCGCTGGTAGGTGTGACTGTGACTCGTGGTCACAGTCTTAAGATATCTACCAAAAGAAGCAGAGGGGAGGTTAGAAGAAATGTTTTCACTCAGCGAGTTGTTGGGATTTGGAATGATCCGCCCGAAAGGGCAGTGAAGTCCGATTCGATAACAGCCTTTAAGAGAGAACTGGACAGGTATCTGGGGAAGACGGGTTTGCAGGGTTATGGGGAGAAAGCTGGTGATTGGGGTTAGTGAACGTGACTTGCTCTGTCGAAGAGCCGCACAGACTCGATGGGCCGAATGGCCTCCTTTTGCGCCGTAACATTCTATGATTCTATGACTCAATCCTTGCATTTGATACGGCGCCTTATCGCGTCTTCGAGACGTCTCAAAGCGCTTCACAGGATACGCTGTGAAGTGAATTGACTGTGTGTTTTGTGGCCGAAACAAATCTGATTGGAGAGAAGAGGTGGGGGGCCTTAGGGGAGAGGGGAGGACACTTGAGACACATTGTTGGGGTTTAGTAATTAGGCTCATTACTGATTATTGTCTCGTCACCGTATATATATATATGATACACACACGTGTGGATATGTAGTCTGTCTTGGTGTGTATGTATGTGTTAAACCTCCAGTGTTGATGACTGTGTGTATGTGTGCGTGTGTGTGTGTGTGTTACACCGAGCACCTCCAGTGTTGATGACTGTGTGTGTGTGTGTGTGCGCATGGGTGTGTGTATGTTATGCCGAGCACCTCCAGTGTTGATGACTGTGTGTGTGTGTGTGTGTGTGTGTCTGCTACACCGAGCACCTCCAGTGTTGATGACTGTGTGTGTGTGTGTGTGTGCGCATGGGTGTGTGTATGTTATGCCGAGCACCTCCAGTGTTGATGACTGTGTGTGTGCGCGTGCGTGTGTGTGTGCTACACCGAGCACCTCCAGTGTTGATGACTGTGTGTGTGTGTGCGTGTGTGCGTGTGTGTTACACCGAGCACCTCCAGTGTTGATGACTGTGTGTGTGTGTGTGTGTGTGCGTGTGTGTGTTACACCGAGCACCTCCAGTGTTGATGACTGTGTGTGTGTGTGTGTGTGTGTGCGTGTGTGTGTGTGTTACACCGAGCACCTCCAGTGTTGATGAATGAATGTGTGTGACACAAACAGTCAGTTTGTGTGTTGCTGTGTTGCAGTGAACGCTTCCAGTGTTGAGGACTTGGTACAGTTGAACGATGAGCTCTTGGGTCACATCAAAGGTAAGTTTTATTTTTTGTGCTTTCTGTGATTTGTTCGTTTTGAGACATTTCGAGGACGCGATAAGGCGCTATACAAATTCAAGAATTATTATTATTATTGCTTGGGATTTACCGCTCTTACACGCTTCTCTCTCTCTCCCCCCCCCTTCTCTCTCCCTCCCTCCCTCCCTCTCTGTGTACGCCTGCAGACGTCTTCGAGGAGTTGACACAGGAGTTGGAGGAGAAAGATTCTCTGTCGTCCGAGCTACAGGTCCGTTACATCGCCATCGAACAGCTCTTCAAAAACCGCTCCAAGTTGCCATGGCTCCGGGTCGGACGGGGAGGGGTGAAACCCAACGTACCCCCTGAGCAACTAAAGCCCCCCCTCTTCCACCACCACCACCGTGTACCAATTACTCGGCGACGGAAAGATCCTGAGCCAAAAAATTATGGGACGGGCAGTGTGAGGGATGTGAGAGAGGAGGGAAACAGACAAGAATTGACGCAAGAGTTAAGAGCACAGTGTTACCGAAGAAGAACATGACAATTCGTTCGAACCCACTCCCAGCTATTTTCTACGTCCCCCGTTTTCCCCCCTCGCACCACACCCCCCCCCCCACCCACGACCCCCAACCACCCCCACCACATATTTTATATCCTTTTTTGTACTGCACATTCAGAAGAGAAAATTGTAATTTTCTGGGGGTACTTTTTTTCAATGCGCGATATGTATAACAAAAAAAGTTACGAAAGGAAAATATATATATATATAGATTCAGGTCAATTAACTCTTACCTTCTTTCTCTCTCCCCCCTCCAACCCCCCCCCCCCCACCCCCCACACACACGCACAAAAAACATATTGTGGTGGTCGGAGAGGTGGGAATTTTTGTGACGCAAAAAGAATCCCATCCCTGGCCACCGCTGCCTGCTCTCCTCCCCCCCACCCACCCTGCGCCCCCCATGGGTAGGTGACTGGGTAAATGGTGCCCGAATGCCCACCCCCCCACCCCACTACCACCATCCAAAGACATGAAAACTTTCTTGCCTCCTCCTTTCTCTCTCAATCACCCTTACCCCCCACACCCCCCCCCCCCCCCACACCGCCCCCCCCCAAATCAATCCCCACCCATCTCAGAGCACGGGGTGGGAGGGGGGTGGGGAGGAAACAGGGAAAAGCCCCACATTTTCCTATCCTATTGCTGAAATTCCACTTGGGTTGAGACTTAAGTCCATTTCGTTCAAATCTTAAGCTTGGCGCGAGAATTTTATTTTATTTTTTTAAACGAACGATTTTAAGTCGCCTTCGGCCGCAGCTGATTATTTGTAATTATTAGTAGTATTGTTATTATGTGGAGTCCTGTAGTTCAGTGGTTAGAGCACTCGCTTTGCAAGTGAGAGACCTGGGTTCAATTCCAGGCAGAGGGCGAAACCTTGGGCAAGTTTCCTTACTCCACACAGAGCCTAATAATAATCCCTCCAAAACCAAAAACAATAATAAATTGGTCATTTTCAATCCACGACTGTTTGTGGGACATCGCTGTGCGCAATTGGCTGCCGCGTTCGCCCACAAATATACAGTCAATTCACTTTACAGTGTGTTCTGTGAAGCGCTTTGGGACGTCCTCCCGACGTGAAAAGCGCTATATCAAATGCAAGGATTATTATTATTATGTTTTAGTATTGAAACGAAATAAGCTCTCGTCTCCCAGCGGTTGGATGGCAAGAGTGCTGTACCTACCCCGCCCGTTTCCTCTTTTCGGAAACAAGAGGAGAAAATCGCCCCCCGCCCACCCGCCCGCCCGCCACCTCTCTCCCACCCCATTTGCCCCCACCTCGCCTTGTCTCTCCACCGGAGACTCGCATCAATCGATTGATGAGGTTTAGGAGGGGAGATGCCACAGATAGGCTGGCGACGAGGCTGCTTGGTGGGATGCGGGGCATAAAAAGTTTTTTTTTCTGAAACGAACGCAGTAAAGCGGCTGAGGATGCGCAGCACGATCAGGCAGAGAGGAAAGTGAGACGGTTCCTTCACCATCTGCAGTGTTTTGCCTTTTGCCTCTGAGGTTTTCTGTGCAGGGGGTTGCGTTACTTCAGTCACAGAGGCCGACAGTTTTAAAATGATCGTGCCCCTTTTTCTCTAAGCATCTCTCCCTCTTTCAACCCCCCCACCAACCCCCCTCCCCACCCCTTCAGCCTCCTGCCCCTCCCCATTCCTCTCCATCTCTTTTTCTTCTCTCTCCTTAACGTTTCTCTCTTTCTCCCTTTGGTCTATCTTTCCCTCTTGCGCTCCACCCTATCTCTCCCTTTCTCGATCTCTCTCTCTTCCTCCCTCTTTCTCTCTACCCCGCGCCCCCCCTCCTCTCTCTCTCTCTCTCTCTCTCTCTCCCTTTCTCTCTCAACAATGATACTTTGCAATGGCAAACCATTGCGTTTGACCGTGTAGAGAGAGAGAGAGAGTGGTAGGGGGTGGGGGGGAGTTACTGGAATATGGAGTTGGCGGTCTTTGGGGGCGGGGGCTGAGTTGAGTCCATCTGCGTATGTGTGGGGGTGGGGGGGGGGGGGGCTACGGTTTAGTTCCACTCTTCGCTCTACCAAAGGTTGGCTAAGGTATTAGTCACCATCCGTCCCAGGTCTGTGTCTAAGTGGGACACACTTATGTGGGAGAGAGATGAATCCGGGGCAAAGGGAAGGAGAGAGGGTGGGTGGGAGCAATGGGAGCGGCTGATGAGAGGAGGTGTGAGGGGTGGGGGAAAGTGGGGACGAAACAGGAATGGCCGGAGCCAAACCGTACGTCTGGAGGTTGCAATTAGCAGCACCGCCGACCCTCGCGAAAAGCAAAAAAAAGATTGAGGATTTTTACATTTGCTGCAATCCGCAAATAACTGTTTACAGACGCCTCGATTATAGTGTGCGTGTGTGAGTCTGGGGATTTGAGGGGGGTGTGGGGGAGAGGGTTTGCAGAACCGTTTACAGTGATAGACCTGACCCCACCCCCACACGCGCACCCCCACCCTCTACCCACTTCATTTATCGACTCCAGTAATTATTACCACTTCATCCCGTTGGACTATTCTAAAGTATTTTTTACAAGAATTATTACGTATACAATATATATATATATTTCACACGCACAATGATAATAAATATATATTTGTCTCTTTTTTGCTGGTAAAGATGCATTTCAAAGTGTTTTCTCAAGCCCTGTGGTCCTTTTTGCATTTGCTTTGTACGAAACAAAACTACAAACAGACGACGGATTTTAAATAAAGAATATTTTCCTAACGTGGGTCCTGCTGCTGTGTTTGATTCGGTCGCAAAATGTTACAGCACAGTTTGGGGTTCATTGTGGCCTGCAAGTCTGATATAGATGATGTGGAGAGACTAGAGCAGTTGGGATTGAGATTTCGCCCACAAAATACACAGTCACTCCACTTTACTGTATACTCCGTGAAGCGCTTTGAGATGTCTCGATGACGTGATAAGGCGCTGTATCAAATACAAAGGGTATTATTATTGTCGTTCTCCTGAGAGAGAGAAGGTTAAGGGGAGATTTAATAGAGGTGTTCAAAATGATGAGGGGTTTTGATAGAGTGGACGGAGAAACTGTTTCCACCGGTGGGCGGGTGGGTGGGTCGGTAACCAGAGGTCAGATGAGGAGAATTTTTTTTACACACAGAGAGAGTTGTTACGGTCTGGAACGCACTCCCTGAAAGGCGGGTGGAAACCGATTCAATAACAAACTTAAAAGGATAGGGAATTGAAGAGGAACAAATTGCAAGGATATGGGGGAAAGAGCAGGGGGAGGGAGTGGGGACCGATGGGGCAGCTTTTCCAAAGAGCCGGGACAGCCGCGATGGGCCGAATGGCCTCCTTCTGTGCTGGAATATGCTGTGATTCCATAGTGTTGATCTTCACCTGAGCTACCTTGTCTCCTCTCATTATTAGTGCTCAAGTGCTCATTATTATATCAAGCGACCCGGGACACACAGTAACGTTCCACAAATAGCCAAGAAGCAAACGGTCAACTTTATCCGAGAGATTGTCGGCCGGGATACTGGGAGAGAGAAACTCCCTTCTCTTTCCCGACGTATAATATAATAATCCTTTTCACGTCTTCAGGACGTCTCAAAAGCGCTTCACGGAATAGACTGTTTCCTTAAGTGAATTCGACTGTACATTTTGCGGGCGAAACGCGGCAGTCGATTGCGCGCAGCGGCGTCCCCACAAACAGTCGTGGATTGAGGGAACAAATTATTATTTTTTTTGATGATGAAGGGAAGGGATTTTTAACCAAAATGAATGTCCTCTGTCCTTAGAGCAGAGCCGCGTCCTACGAACAGCCAAGAAGCAAATAACCCACCAATTTTATTCGGGGGATTGTTGGCCAGGGAACCGGAAGAAAAAAAAACTCCCTTCTCTTCTTTGAATAGTCCCCCGCGGGATGTTTAACGTCCACTCCCCATCGCTGCTTCGGGATGTCAACCTGGATTTTGAGCTTAAAATCCTGACGAGAGAGCTTGGACTCACAACCTTCTGGGACTCTAGCGGTGAGAGTGCTGCCCAAACTGACACACACTCATAAATGATTCATTCGCTTTGTGGCTTTCTCGTGGGACATCGTGTTAGGCCACAAATGCTTGTCCCCATTTTTCCGACAGCAATAATAATGAATAATAAGGATAATAATCCTTGCATTTGATATGACGCTTTTTCAAGTCTTCGAGACGTCTCAAAGGGCTTCGCAGAATGTCCTGTAAAGTAAACTGACTGCATATTTTGTGGACCAAATGGCGCACAGCAGCGTCCCACGAGCAGTCGTGGATTGAGTGACCAAATTATTATCGAATAGTAATAGTAAGTAATAGTATACAAATGTACCATCACTGCCGTTGATGGCGATTCTCTGTTAAAACGTTGTGAGACCTTTTGCAACACCAGGTGCTTCATCAAATCCAAGAATGGTTGACTCTGTTTACGTTTTCCTCCTCTGCCTCTTCCCTCGTCTCTGGTACACTACCCCGTGTGAAGGATGGTGCATTATGACCCCCCCACCCCCAGCACCACCACCCCTCGCCTCGCCCGCCCCACCGTTGGCGGGCGGGCCTTCTGCCTCTCTGCCCCCACCCTCTGGAACTCCATCCCACAGTCCCTCCGCCTCCCACCCCCCACCCACCCTCCCTCACTTCCTTCAAGACCCGTCTCAAGACCCTCCTCTTTCGACCGTGCCTTCGGTCGCCCTCCTACCCTCCGCCCTGCCCTCCACCCTCCCCAATCCCAATCCCAATCCCGACCCCCACCCCAACTCGGGTCCGAAACACTGACTGTCCAGCGCCTTGGGACGTCCTCCCGACGTGGAAGGACAAAGGTCATTTTGTTGTTGTTGTAAATAAATGCAAGTTGTTGTTGTTGCCTCTCTTCAGCGGGTGAGTGGCGCCATCAAGTGGCGCTGACAAGTACGGAAAAACACGTGGAAGACTCCAAAGGGACAGATTGGTAGATTGGGCAGAGAGGTGGCCGATGAAATTTAATACAAAAAAGTGTGAGGTTCGTGGGGTTTTTTTCGAGGAGGGAGAAGAGAGGGAGAGCAAGCAAATGGCCAAACGGTTA